TTACTTGACAATAACAAATCAGTGAACCAGAGAGAGGCAGAGACGGAGGCTGTGGGCCACACCCCTTTTCCATCCTGCATTATGACATCACTACTCCCTCCTTCCTTTCCCTGGGAAAATGGTCCCAGGTGCTGTGTGCTCCTCTGAGCTGGAGCCCTTTTCGATTGGCTTAAGTCAGTCCCTCTAAAGTGGGATCAGCCTTTCTGTAGCCTCCTGGCTCCAAACAGTAATTGGTTTTAGAATTCCTCCAAACTAAAAATCATATGATTTATATGCATTTTGGTCAAAAGTAGAGTTTTTGTTTGAGATTTTTAAAGATAACAATGTGGCAAAATTGTATTTTTAGCTTGCTCAAAATGATCTTATTAATAAATTAGTAAGTCCTTCTCTCCAAAGCAAGACTTCACCAGTATTTGTAACTAGGAAAAGTGAATGTTAAATTGTGAACTTTAATACTTACTTGTTAGGAGCAATGACTGTGATAATGGAATGGCCTTTTGAGACCTGCATGTCCCAGTGTACAATTTCAGCCCAGCATTTTCTGCATCCCTCTGTGGCATCCAAAGGATTCTGCTGCAGAAATGATTGATGTGCTATTTTTCCTGTCTAGTGATGCAGCTGCTTTGGGCCCCTGGCCATTGTTCCAAGGCTCTCAGTCCTGCACAGAACAGAGAAATTGGGTCACTAGTGTTGAGAGGCCCCAGGGGAGCTCCTGGTGGCCTTGGTTCTTGCCTTCACAGTCGTCACTAAATTGCCACCTGTGCCCCTTCAGTGGTAACTCTGGTCTAAGGGAACGTTCAGCTATCCAGTGGCACCTGCTCAGAAGTTCCCTGCCCCAAGTAATCTCAGCCCATTCCTCTCTCCATCCCTGAAAGAAACGGGATGGATTTTCCTCTCTTCTCCCCGGCACCCCCATCACTAGACTTTTATGCTACAGTTTCGTTCACGATTGTGATTTCTCCATGGGATTTTTTTTTTTTTCTGGTGAAATTTCTGTCATGGAAATAGGAAGATTTCGGAGTGCTCTGTAAAGATCTCAATTGTCTGTCTCTTTCTCTCTTTGACTTGTATGAAGGAGATTGTACATTGCCTGATATCTCTTTGTAAATGAGAAATACTGCTAACATCCAAGCATTCTGAAGTCTTGCTTATCCTTCTGAGTTTAGTTTTTATTTTGTTTTACATTTTGTTTGGGGACTTGGGGCAAGCTATTTATTAGAGTTTTGCAACAGAGTTCTTGTTTGAAGCCTTTAAAGACTACTTGTAAAATTCAAATAATAAAATTCATTTTAAACACTCTTTTAAAACATTTTGGTATTATTGCTTGAGGTTTTCTTATTTATTTATTTTTCTTTTCTTTTCTTTTCCTTTCTTCTCTTTTCTTTTCTTAACATCTTTACTGGAGCACGACCGCTCCACTGTGGTCTGTTAGCCTCCGCTACACAACAAAGCGAATCAGCTATACACACACATACACCCCCATATCTCCTCCCTCCCGTGTCCCGCGCCCCCCACCCTTCCCATCCCACCCTTTTGGGTGGTCACAGAGCACCGAGCTGATCTCCCTGTGCTATGCGGCTGCTTCCCACTAGCTAGCTATTTTACATTTCATTTTAATAAAATTCATTTTAAACACTCTTTTAAAACATTTTGGTATTATTGCTTGAGGTTTTCTTATTTATTTATTTTTCTTTTCTTTTCTTTTCCTTTCTTCTCTTTTCTTTTCTTAACATCTTTACTGGAGCACGACCGCTCCACTGTGGTCTGTTAGCCTCCGCTACACAACAAAGCGAATCAGCTATACACACACATACACCCCCATATCTCCTCCCTCCCGTGTCCCGCGCCCCCCACCCTTCCCATCCCACCCTTTTGGGTGGTCACAGAGCACCGAGCTGATCTCCCTGTGCTATGCGGCTGCTTCCCACTAGCTAGCTATTTTACATTTTGTAGTGTATCTATGTCCATGCCACTCTCTCACTTCATCCCAGTTTACCCTTCCCCCTCCCCGTGTCCTCAAGTCCATTCTCTTTCTTATTTGAAAGACCACCCAGTAACTCATTGACCCTCCTTGTATCCTTATTTTTCCATCAGACTCCATTAACACCCAAGATGATCCTTGAAACTTTGTCTCTTTTAGAATTTTAATAAGCTTTTATACAGTCTGTTCACATCCATAGAGAATTCCTAATTTGCCCTCTCTGCTTACGATTTAATATTTGCAGAGCACTTTATAATTAGCACCCTCTTCATTACCCGTGTGTGAATTGTCCGTAACTGCACTCATTCCCTGAGACCAGCACATTTTGGACTCCTCTATGGCATCTCCCCAACTCTCAATGTTAGATGTCGTATGTTAATATTAGGCTGTGCAAAATGTAATTAGGAAAGTTAATCGACTGAAAAAAATCACAATGCATTCCAAAGCCAAATGGAACCAAATTTTTTAAATCTACCATGTCACTGTTCCTCTCCAGTGGTGCAGCTAATTGAGAGCTGACAGTATAGTTTCTTCCTTTTATTTGGTTCAGCAATTCTACAAATCCTAGAATTACAAGACAGGCTAAGACTGGATGCCACAAGATACTCTGATTAGCAAGCTAAAAGGTCTGTTTAGACCATGATTTTTACCTGGTTTAGAGGGTTTCCGAAGGGCTTGGACGTGGGTTTTGAGTTCCTGGGAGAAGGCGCCATTGACCTACATTGATGGAGGATCTTCACCCATGAGCTGATTGGAGGGGCCAATTGGTTGCACTGCAAGTCTGCTGCAGGTGATAAACAGATTGGGTTGTGTTGGATTACTAACTCTGTAGATGGGGATAAAAATGGTAGTACAAGGGCAAAGGAAATGGGCCCAGCAAGCTTAAGCCATTTGCCTCTAGTTAAATGCAGAGCAATGACCTGAACAGATTACAACCTCACAGTAGATATATGTAACCACCTGGTGCTATTTCCCCAGAACGAACAAAATCGAGATTAAAGTGCAAGGTGGCACACCTTGGTCAGAAATGCACTTAAACAGTAAAGGTGGGCATTGTTAAAGATGAACTGTGTTATTTTAAAAGAATGAGAGTACAGTAATACCTTTTCCCTGTATGAATTATGCCACTATGGACCTGTCCATAAGGAATCAACATACTCTAATAAAAAAGGCATTTGACTTGGACTCAAATCCCATCCAACTGTGTAGCGGCTGTCTTTAGGTAAATTACCTAATGAGTTTGGTTTCCTATCTGGTAAAATAGCAACAGCCTCATACTGTTTTAAGAATTAAGTGGGGTCATATGGGTAAAGCCAGTAACTGGCAAATTCAAGGCACTCAGTAATTATGTGTGTTTCCTTGTCTTCCACCTCCAATATGTTAGGGCTTTGATGTTGTTTTTCTAGGAGTCCTGACATATTAATAGGAGAGGCGCATGGAAGAGCCAGAATGAGCTCGTCCCCTCTGCCTAATATCGGCCGGGGGCTTTGCCATGTATTTTAGAACAGTGACTCAAACTTGAGCTTGCATCACAATCACCTGGAGGGTTGGTTAAAAACCTGGGTCACTGGATTGCATCCCCAGGATCTGTAATTGGGCAGGCCTGGGGTGGGAACTTTGTATTTTCTCCAACTTCGCAGGTGATGATTTAGAAGCAGGACTTTGAAGAATAGAGTTAACAAGAGGATAGCCATGCCCATTAGTAATTGAAAGAAATAGATGCTATGATGCGAGGCTCTTAACCATGTCCAGAAACCTGAGTTTTTTGACAGGTTGGCTAACCACAGAGCACCTTGCCGGAGGAAACAGGCTTAAATTATAGCTAAAGAGAGCTTAGGCAAAATAACTTTTTTTTTCTTTTTTACTAAAAAGGTAATTTAGAGACCCCTTTGCGTGAAATTTTCTGCCACTTGACTTTTAAATTCTTGTGTTACCTGGATGTGACTGGAGTGTCCTTAACTACCACTAATGGTATGAGACTAGTTACCAGGTCAGCAAGGAATGACCTTGGTGACCTTGAGGGGCTAACAGTTTGGGAGCCAGTGAAGAGCCCTCAGCCAGGCCCACAGTGCAGGGCTTCACAGGAGTGCAAACCCCGGCAGACGAGGTCCCAGGCTGGGAGCATTGAATTCCAGTCACTAATTTCCAAATTCAGCCCGTCCTGTTTACCCTACTCTCCAAGAACCTATCAACCCTCAAAGTTACTAGACAAGCAGATTTCCCAACTGCCCTCATACCTGCTCCAAACTTAAGAAATCTATCCTCATGCTGCATCACAGCCCATTTTCTGTGCCACTGTCCAGAGAGAAGGAAAGCACTGCTGATCCTCTATATCCTTTAGATAAGCCGCAGCTCAGGCTTGAAGACACTGGCTGTCTTTTTGGAGATCACTATAACCATGGTTTTATTTGCTGCTGCTTCGTCCCCTTCCTGCTCTCCTTTCCTCGGGTCTCCCACCTCTCCCCAGAAGAGTCGGCCAGTGTCGTGCTCCTTTGTTTCCTTGTCAGCTGAGCGCCTCCGGTCCTCCATCCTTAAATATCCAAACATCTCCCCCTCTCATGCCTTAGCGCATCCGAGTCATCATACCCGAGACCCAAGAGAGCTTTCACCTTCCCTGTCTCTCATTACACCTCTCATTATACGCCTTCACCGCAATTGCC